AAGTAAACGTTCACAAGTTCACCAGCTGACAATAAATGCACAGGTTGGATGGACAGCTCATAATTAGTTCTGCATAACGCAAACGAAGTGCAGCACTAACCGAAATAAAGGAGCATGAAGTAAACCCGGTAGCAGCAAACAAGTGGTAAGCCCAAGTCAATGAGATTAAACTACCTGCTCGAAGCAAAGAACAAAGACGAGACAGTGAAAACGAACAACAATTTTTGTAAGCTATGAATGATAAATCTATTCGAAAATAAGAGGTAATTGATCACTCTCTAGACCTTAAATTGATTCACTGAAGTTACAAATGTTAAATATGATAGTCAGCAGAAAAACCAGTATAGCCGGATAGAAAAGAGTTACGAGCGAGGAATTGAATGCATTAGCTAAATAAGTAACTTAAAACAGTTAGTTCCCTTTAGCAATTTGAAAAGCGCAGTAAGAAGACGAAAACCGGCAAATGCACGCATTTCGTATTGTCCCATCAGTGGCTTTAATAATAACTCGCAAGAATGTTTATTCAGTGAAGGGTGTGACCAAATATGGGTGGCGGCATCCGGTTTCGGATTTGCCTGTCACTGTGGCCAGCCACAGGACGCCTGCACCTACAGAGGGACCATGGGTAGCTTGCGCTGCACCGCCCACAACTCCAACTACGCACCCCATATCCAGTGTAAACAAACAGACCAACACACGATAAACGAGATAGGGTTATCACCCCTATCCCCAGACCAGCCTAATGTTGACCGATAATTGTTTGTGAACACAAAGCAGCGGCTTAATCCGGATAATTGCAATCGCCTCTGCGAAACGGAAGAGGCGAGAATTGGTCTGTTGTGAACGTCGAAGTAAACTCGACTCGGTGATCAGTGGCCAATAGTTGCCGGCCAATCGAAGAAGCTGGTGGTTTACGCAGCCAACCAGCTTGACTCTGGCCAGTTTCCTGCGCGGTCGAACTTGAACACACAGGTACATGCTCTTTCATTCGGGAACTCAATATTCTACCGTTCCTGCCTATGTGACTGGCGCCGCAGTCATATATGAATTGGTAAATGCAATGCCATTTGGCCCCGATAGGCTGAGCCTCCTTTACAGAAGGAAGTGGTAGTTTTTGGATTTTATTAATGACGGCGACCTTGGCGGTATAGTAAGTTGTCCGCATGGCACAGATCAGACGCCTTGTGGTCTTCAACGAGGAGACGTCACCTTTGAATGACAGTTCAAAGAATACAGACATCTTGGACAACGAGTGCACTAGGTTACTTGGTCGCACTTGACTATGTTTCTCGATGAACCTTCGGGATATGTCGTTTTCAATGAGCGTTATGGTAATCAAATGCAGTTCGTCAGCCAGGCAATCAGCGGAGTAGAATCATCTGGCACGGCTCTTCAGGGTTCTCACGAGCGTCCGCTTGTATCGCATTGGTGTGAAGCTAGTGGAATGAAGATACTGCCCGGACCATGTTGATTTCCTGTAGACAGACCTCTTAATCCGCCCGTTTTCTCTGCGGCTGATGAGGATATCTAAGTACGGAAGGCAATTTTGTTTCTCTATCTCACAGGAGACCGGTAAGCTATAATGCGCAGAATTTAGTCGCGTTACCAACTGCTCCATTTGATGCTCCAATGAATGAATTGCCAAAATATCATCCACGTAGTGTTGGTAGTATGACAGTCGAGGGATTTCTCGACATACATAGTTCTATCATTAACATAACGGTATCGGCAAGTACCGCGCCCAATGGACTGTCCATAGCTACTCCATCAATTTGACAGTACGGTGTGTTTTTAAACTGAAAGTTGACATTCTCCGTACATAACAAATAACGAGTTAGTAGTTCAACTGGCATTGGTAAAGGACACAGCGAAGTTTCTGCTAGTTCACAAATGTAAACAACAGTTTGATGCAGGGGTACATTGGTAAACAGCGATTCTACATCAAATGTGCACATGACCTTGTCGGATACATTAAGTATGCCGATGTCGTCGATAAGCTCGAAAAAAGCTTTGAGGCTATATAGATTGGTCCACTTTTGCAGCGGCGAAAGTAATTTCACCAACCAGCTAGCCAGTTTACCTTGAGGCGCGTTTACCATCGACAGAATCGGTCTGAGTGGAAAGAGATAATGATACCTAGATTATTAATGCACTCATTTGCAAACGATCATGCGTCACTATTCCGAGAAGCGGAAGGTTGGAAGTGTGTGGACCGAGGTCCCTGGGCAAAACAGTGACAAGGAACAACGTCGAACATGGGGAATCAGCAAAATCCAATTGCCTCTGCAATGCGTGAATTGTTGCCGTAAAAGAATAATACCGTATGAACGAGGCAACGTGGGTGGGGGGGAGCAAAAGCACCCAAGCCGTGATGTTAAGTCAGAACCTGTCATAGTGGTAAAAAGGTGGCCAGTTAAGTAACATTATATCAAAACGCAGTCGCAGTGGGCACAGAGAAAGATAAAGCAGTTCAAATCGTGCAACATGCCACAGGAATTTCAGGCCACTTGCGTAACCGATCATACAGAAATAAGGAAACAACTGGTAGTTGTCATCGATCATGTGGTCATTGAAAATCGGAGTAGTTACGAAGGTCAACTGGAAACAACCGTGCAAATATCTAGCAAAGCAAAGCACCATAACGCAAACAGGGAACCAGGACAAACTAATCGGAGTGAGTGAGATAATCAAAGACAGCAAAATTTGAAACAGTTGGTTTTCTGTCAAATAGGTCGCTTTTCACCACACGACGTCATAATGAACCGAGCAGACCATCGGACGCCCGCATGCATAAATAAGTGTCACAGCGTGGCTGTAATAGGCGTAACTCTGGAAGTACACGCAAACATTCACGAGTGGAACAGATTTCTACACTGGACTGTTGGAGTCCGTGCCGTGCGCTTAAATTGTGACACGTAGTCTCGATTGGGAGCAAGATCAAGTTAGAAGCAAACCACGAAGTAAAGCTTAAAGTAAACCGATTACGGTATAAGATATTGCACTCAATTGACATTGGATTTTGAAACGAAAACTTTCCGCTCCTTTCGTTGCATCGCAAGTAATAGTGTGGAGGGGGGTTGGATAAAGTACAAAATAGTGGTTTCGCTCACCATATCGAACAGATTTAATCAAGGCAAGTAAGAAATCGGAGCGTAAGATTGCGACTCGAGCAAAAGTTGACACGTTTGGATGCGGTAGTGGGCAAGAAACCCAAGAAATGATGTTAACTTTAAAACTGGAACTGATCGATGCAAATACCCAGGTTGAAATTCGTGACCAATCTAGTGAGGTAGTCGAAACTCGCAATTTAATAGGACTGCTCTAGTACAGTCATCCACATATCTGCCCCAAACAAATCCTCCCATTTTCGAATATTTAATACCATGGTAACAGCAAATATTTGTTTGGAAGAGTTCCCTCATAGGGAATTCTCGACAGACAGGACGATGACATCCATGTCGTGAAACAATATGGATTCCAAAGTTTAGAAAACAAATGACCTTCCTTTCGTATGCTCCCTGAACCAAATCATACAAGCTATCGATAGAATCGGCAGACAAAAGTAGCCTAGAGAGTTATAAATTGCAGACGACTTCCCTGTGATCTGACTTCACATTCCATATGCAACCATTTCTCTAAGTAATTCGAGACTTCCAAAGATAAGAAATCTTACTTTCGAAGGTAATGTTTGCATTAACTTTAAGACGCCTACGAAAACGCAATGATTATGCTTCTTTCAAAGATTTGAACATATTTCGACAAAAAGAGGTCCCTAACTGCGGGATTCCTTAAATCATCTATCGCATTCACGCTCGTGATGGAAACGTAGAGAGATATAGTACATCGAGTAAAAACACCGATCTCGGCAAAAAGCAATTACGACCAGCCTGAAAAATGCCCAGGTATTGTACCTTATATGAAGGATTGTTTATGATATCTCGTATGGGCTTAGGAAATTTGAGTTAAAATGCCTGTGGTCTTCAGCGCTGGATAGCGATACTCCGCAGCTACGCTTGCATCCCAAAGTAACCTACCAATCGCATTTTCGTCAACTTTTGTTAGAAATATGATGCGTACCACGTCAGGACAATGCCGGAATCAGAGGAATAATAAGGAAAGTCACTTGCATCCACCTATACGCAAACAAAAAGCGCCCAATATCAATGGTGAAATTAAATTAGAAATGAATGTACGATATGACGGGCTATGGTACGGAGCGAAAGGTCCTTCATAAATGGCAGACAGACTTGAACGATGGATAATCAAGAGTAAGGTCGTATACAAAGTAACCTTGGGAAAAATCAATGGTTTGGGGATGAGAACAATTATGATGGCGAACTACAGACCAGAGAATGATGTGATGCTAACTGTAGGAAAGAATTACTCCAGGATATTTTTAAAAGAGTCGGAGACATTATGTGAGGATAAAATCGACCAAGTATGAATACACGGTTTATAAGCGGGAAAGAAATCGCTGTCATCGGACGTTAATAAGAGTGCACGTAAACCCGAAGCTTCAATCTTATGGCGGCGGCGGCATCCCGAGTCAAAGGTAATAAAGGAAGCCAGCCGGAGATTTCAGGCAACCACGTATACTAAACAAAGTAAAGTTATTTGAAAGTAACGCTTAGTTTACTGCTATTGGTGTTGGGTAAAAAGGGAAACCGCCAACCGGGGGCAAAATAGACATATGAAGCGATGTACTTAGTGGAAAGTATAAACCTGCCACGGACGGCCAATGCACGTGACGCCAAAGAAGAAGAAATTAACATCCCTTTAGGAAACAACTGCGGAAAAGCATCTTTCTACGCAAGAAAGATTTACCCATCCACTTCAGGCGGGAGAAGAATATTACAAGTTGAATAGCTAAAAAATAAAATAGTCCAAACTTCAACATGAGGTTGAGCGTTCAAAAAAGGTAACAATTCCCTTTACAGATGCTTGCAAAAGACGAGCTACCTAGGGATAATAAAGCTAGATGAAAGACTCCAAAAACTTACACTGCTGGAACTGAGCGTGCATGCAGCGAAGTGAGCGACGAGGGTCTGGTTAGCAGCTTGCTGGAGAGCGAGCGCTTCCCAGAAGGCATGTGCGACGGAAAAGACCCTGGATCGAATCGGCTTGGAGCGTAAACGATACGCTTTGCTGGTTGAGGTGTAAGAGTAGCCTGATGGAAGTGAGTGCAGGAAAAAAAACGATAGCTTCGATAGATTTTCCCAGATTACTAGGAGAACTCGCGCAGACCCGGATGAACCGAACATTATAGTGGAACAAGAAAACGGATATAGGTCGCAAAGCATAAGTAACAATTTATTACCGTGACTGTCGTCACCGTAGAAGGTGAGCCCACCAGCCAAACATGTATTCAACTAAATACCACTTGACTACGGTTACCTTGAGAGCAGCATTCCACAAATCGTCATTCGTTCCCTGCCTACATGGAGACGTATTTCCAGCGGGAGAATCAGTTAAATTGGGGGTGGCTAAACGAGTTTCAAGAGTGACCTCAGAAACGGTCGTTGACGGTGAAAAATCGTCGCAAAGGTCAAACTGCACATCGGATATCTTCTCAAGTGGAGCATGTTCCACCAGAGTTTTAGTAATCGGATCAACGGAAACCCTGGTCAATCGGTAAGTGGACTGACCAGCCCAGGCAGGCAGTTTGCGACGAGTGCTGGTGGAAGCTGATGGTGGAGCAGAACGGCAAACACCGTCACATGCTAACCGTTCGGCGTGGCTGGGGAACCGAGTGTTTTCATCAACGGAAGGGAGCAAATGATGGCCTAGGACAAAAATCAAAGGAAATTAATGAGATACCGTTTTCATCGCGCGATGCAAAAGGCGGAAGAGTATGGGACGAATCAGAGCCAGAAAACAAGTGATAATCAGATCCATATTCACGGGCGCCATTAACAAGAACTTTTCCGTAAAATGGTTCACATTTTGCAATAGGGGGAGGTGTAAAAGAGGGTCCGACTTCTTCTGCAAATTTGAGTAAGGAGTGTGGAGATTGTCCAAGTAACTGAAGTGCTAGTATTCCATCTTCAACTCGAGGTTCCTCGTCACCTAATAAATTACCACAAAAATGTTAAAGCAGGATTACACAAAGAAGCAATTCGTTGTATGTTTATTCCCAAATTCTTCAGGTAACGTTCTACAACGAGGATCAAGAGATCCAAAGATGACTCCGTGATTCGGTCGAAGCCAACTTGGTAACAAAGCTGTGCAACAAACTGCGACATCACGTGCCCCAAGCCGTCGTACATGGCGAATCAGGAAGCTGAAAAAGAATGATGCGTCATCATTACACATTGCCAAAAAGTGAGAAACATCGCAAGAAATAAGAATAGTAAACAGTATATAACACAAAATAAAAGCCAAAAAGCAAGTCATGTAGTGCTAAGTGCCATAATATGCATCGAGTGTGAGATCATAGTTGGAAAAAAGCTAAGCGGGAAGAGAGGGACAAAGAGACCCACACACAAACGCCATTGAGACAGGCATTTCGTCATATCAGCAAGTGGATCCAACCCGGCAGAAGCGAGATAGCAACCGACGGCAAGATCGACCAAGTCATCGCTTGGCCTCCTCTTCTTTCATCCACACACCCGGCGCGCAAACAAGGCATGCGCAACACGTCGCCCAGCCATTAGAGCCTGGTGCGTGAAATAATGATGCTGGGTGGTTCACTCGCTCTCCCGGCACCAACTGTAGCACGCCGAACACATTAAGTGTTCACGTGGTGTTCCTACCAGATATGAGCTAAGCTGAGAAGACAGCGATGATCAAACGTAATTAGGTTTTTTTATGTCTGTTGACCAGATGGGCCAGGTTTCACAACTGCATACAAGGGTTGAAAGCACGGCTGCGTTGTAAACGCTGCCCTTCAGGGCGAGCGATGTCGCGACGGTGCCACAGGTGACGGAGATTAGCAAAATCACCTCGAGCTTTTGCCATGTGGTGTGTGATCTAATATTCCATTCCACTGGCGCTGATAAAACTGTCTAGGTACATGAATTACCCGACGACTTCTAGTGGATCACCACTAAGAGTCAGCGCAAAGGTAGGTCCTTGCCAATCTTGGAGAACTTTTCCATTACGAAGATGCAACGTATAACCTGAAACAATAGACAGTCAGCGTTAATCTATTCAATGCTGCTTGGCAGGTTATCGAAATGACACAGATTAGAGCAATGCCGTCGGTGTACTCAAAGGCAAAAAACCGATCATCTGGAAGCTGGTTCACACCTCGTAAGTCAGGCCCAGTGAACGTCATTTCTGTGAATTCGTCGATGGCGAGGTTAAAAAAGGAGAGACGACAGCGTGCACCGCTAGAGATATTGAAGGGCACGACAGCATGCCATAAGCTCTGAGCTAGTGTGTACAGCGCTCGTATGACAGTTACATATTAATAGGGCAAGAGGTTAACATTTAGGTGACGCAGAGCAAGTAGTGCTCGTGTTCCAACAAGAACGACTCAAGCAATTCTGTAGGTAAGCCCAGAAAACAAAATGGGGATTTTGTCGGTAAATCGGTTAAGGAGAGTAAATAAAGGGAAAACAGGCAATAATGGGAAAGGAGAAACCGAGGTAGATTGATAACTGGATTTTAAAATGCTGAAACTGTAGCCACAGAAGTCCCGAACAAAAGAGCAGTAGTAGAAGGAGTAGAAAAGCACAGTGAGAAAAGGAAATTGGGTAGATGCACGCATTTCGCTTTGTATCTTCAGTGCCGATAACGATAACCGGTAAATATAAACAATCGTTTGAGAATGTAAACATGCATAAAGACAGGGCAGCCTCGGGGCAACCGATAATTACTTTTAAACGCAAAGCACCGGTTTAATCCAGCTTATCATAACAGTCTCGGCGAACCGAAAAAGCGTGGAATTCAGATGGCGCGGCAGGATGCTGCACGCCGTAGTCACTTTAATCCGATGACCCGCTATAAAAGTCTCTGTTGATGAGAGGGGCATCAGCAGTACACCGATACGCCATACCGACGCTTCGCCACCATGCATGCACTACAAGTAGCGCGCTGGGCTAAGGATATTGCGAGGGTTGCCCGGTCCCCTAGGCAGGCTAGAACACGTGACCTAGGGGTCGTTAGGCAGACGCCTCGTATTTTTCGGCCACGGGCCGAATATGCTAGAGGCCTACGTGAACACGTGGTTTGACTTGAACAGGCTCTCTGTGCAGTATCGCAGAGAGCACGATTTAGCACATGATCCTGAATTCGAGAACTGAGTACCATCGGTTCTGCCCTGTTAAATAGCTCGGTAGTTAAATAATGAGGTAGATGTTGCATACATCATGCTTCTTCCTCGAAGTTAGGCTACACTCCAGTTAACCTGCTGCATTTTCCGTGGTTGATATGTGCATAACAGATCGAACAAGAAAAACAAAGTAGGCGCAAACAAGCCAAAAGTTTATTTTCATAAGATTGCGAGCAATCATGCGCCTTAAATCGAAAATACGGTAAAGCCGCTTGATGGAATCAATTCAGTTCGGCAAAGTTGATCCCAGTACCGAAGTGCGGTGGAGTCAGTTCCCACGGCCCACATCGCAAGAATGCCACGTCATGGACCAGCCACCTCGCGATTTCATCCAACTGGGAGCACTCACCGCGTATAATGCATCCTGAAGAAGCCGGTCAACGTGCATACGGAGGACATGGCCTAGACAACCCAGGCGAGTGAGGAAGCAGAAGCCTTCGTGCACAAAACTAACTGGCATTGCTCACACGGTGTTCCCACCAGACGTGAACAATGCTTCGCAAACCCCGGAAGTCAAACACCATGTCAGGGATAGGAAAATTTCCCTGGAAAACTCATTAACTCAAAAGAAAAACAAACCAAGTAAATGGTGTACATGTGAAACATCAAGTGATTTCAGGAACGTCCGCTTCAGAAACATTCGCGTAAATACGACGTGCGCACCAACCGACCCATTGGCTAGCGGGACTGATCTACCAATCCGGACAGCGGACCTAGCTGTTCTGCTACGTGAAACTTCCTTAGCTGATCTATAGAAATGACCATTGATTTCACACTACTTTTGCACGTTTCGGCAGCTAGTTCCGAAACATACTTTTGCCCCCAAGCGTTGACTTTGATTTTCGGCAGGGATTGGGAACAAGCAGAGAACGAGTTTAGTACATCCAGAAATCGCGGACTGAGGTAGATCGTAACACACGACAAAGCGTTTGATTGCTAACTGGCCAGGTCTCTGATCCGTACAGTAACGTTGGTCTTATCGTAGCGCTATACGCCGTACCTTACACCGACAGGCTGATATCCCGCGGTCTGCATATATGGTTGAGTCTCTGGAAAACCACACGAACCTTGCTGCCACGTGAAATAACTTCCTCAGTGAACTAACCACCAGAGGTGACACAGTTACTCAAGTCAGTAAACCGATTCGCCACTTCCAGTGGCTGTTCAGTGACAGCTAGAACCGGTGTGTCAGTCTAGTCGTGCAGCAGCACTTTGCGCTTTGAAGGAGAAAAGCATATGCTGAAGCGTGCAGCGCTACGCGTCAGTCTATCCAGTAGTGTTTGCATACCTACTGCGTCGGACCCAAGAAGAGCTGTCGTCCACCTACTCCAGGTTTGTCAGTCGGTCACCTGGCAGAAGCTGCATTCCGGTCAAGTCTGAAAAAACGGTCACTCATGATCATTTCGATTAAAAAAAGTTGAAGAGGGAAATAAATAGAAAAAATCCTGGCCAACCCGATTGTCATCAGAAACTCAGGGCATAGTTTCCCGTAGACGCTTACAAGCCCTCGAGAATCACGGTAGAGACTGCATAATGAAAAGGAGTTCACCCGGCACGGCCTTCCTGGACAGACAGTTCCACAAGCGTGTGCGATCAACAGAGTCGAAGACAGATCACAAGTCAAGGAAAACTAACATAGTCGGTCGTCTATATATGTATCTGCTCTAATACTTGGCTAAGTAAATATGTGATCGACACAATCACGACCAGGGAGGAAGGCAGCGTGGCTTTCAGTGAATCGGTTCCCCCCGGGGAATGTTACCCGTGATGACTTTGGATGTAATAGAAACAAGGCTAATGCGTCGATGATTTTCGCGCAGTGAGCTGACCCTTCTTGAAGATTGTCACGACAGGCGACTGTTTGAAGGTACCACTTCACTGCTCCAAATTGAGTCCACGAGAGTAGGGAATCCAAACAATAAAGAGTCACTGCCATCTTTCGGCAAAGATGGAGGAAGGTAGTTGGGACTGCGAGGTTTGTTTCGTTTCAACACGGAAGGCACATGTCAAGTTACCAGTGAAACTTTGGGAGCATGAAACTGTCCCAACAGACAGGAGCCGCTCGGTTGTAGTCACAATTTTCAAGGGAGGCTACCGTTCAGAATGCGACAATCGTAGAGGGATCAGTCTGATCTCAATTGCCACGAATTGCATGCGTTTGTCGTTATTCACAGGCTGGTTGGCACTCGTGAATCAAATTCGCGAACAGCAAGTCGGGTTTCGTCGAAATAGAGACTGCATCGACCACATCATTACTTTACGTCAATTGGTGGAGCATCGCCATATTTATTGGCGATCCACCGCAGTTGTGTTTCTCGACATCAAAGATACGTTTGATTCGACTGACCAATGTGCCCTTTAGGACTGCACAGGAAAGACGTGCCCGAAAAATACGTACACATTATCAGGGCGCCGTACGCGCATAATACGGGTTTATGGCAAAATGTCACCGCCCTTCAATATCTCCAGCAGTGTGAAACAACGTTGCCCGCTGTCATCTTTCCTCTTCAACTTCGCTATTGACGAAATCAGGGAAACCGCGTTCACCGGACACCACTTACAATGTGTGGAGCTGCTTCCTCGTGAGTGCCTACTTGACTTGGAGTATGCTGACGACATTACCCTCAAATATGATAGCACCCAAAGGCGTCAAGAAGCACTGGACAGATTAGCACTGGCTGTCAATTGTTTTGGACTATGCTTTGCTCCCTCGAAATACAAAGTCCTCCAAAATTGGCAGAGACCCTCAGTGGTGATCAGCTAGAAATTGTTCAGGCGGCTATATTAGCGCCCGTGGGATTTAAGATAAGGTCACGAACCATACAGCAAAAACTCATGGTGCTTTCACCAAGCTCCGCCTCTGTGGCGCTGATGCGACGTCAGTCTAGTCCTGATAAGCAGCCTTCCGTTCAACCCTCCTATACGGTTGTGAAACCTAGCCCATCAGCTCGACAGACGCAGAGGCTAGGTACGTTCGACCAGCGCCGCCCT